TTTTTTTTTTACAAATTGAATAAATGGAATGAAGGGGAATAAGTGGGACCCCACACCTGGGCTTAGGCTCCCGATGAGAGAGGTGACAGTATGAAAACTTCTCACACACAACTCCTGGCCTGCTGTCCTAACCTCTCCCATCAACCTTACCTAAGACTGAGGTGGGGCTTTTTGAGGATGTGGGGTTCCCCCCTAAAGGGGACTCCGGGCATCCTGTTTCAGGCCCTGAGCCGTGTCAGGCTGGGAGCCAATGTGGGCCCGGATGTGGCGCCGCCTCCGCCTCTCCTGCCTGCGGGCCAGCTGTCGCAGTTGTCTCCGAATGACCCACAGTATCAGGTACACTTCCCGCAGCATCTCAGCTTCCGACGACGTATCCACTGGGGACCCAGACCTCATTTGGGAGGAAATGGAGGTAGAACTCACAGATGACTATGAAAGAGAGAGAAATGTGCATAAGTAGCTTGGTCTAGGGAGAAACCGCTGCTGGAAGCACTGCCAGATAAACAGCAACCGCCTTTCTAGTTCCACCTCCTCCATCGGACCTCGCTCAGGCACTGCCTCCTTCAGGAAGCCTTCCCAGACTGCATTGGATGGTCTTTGTCTCCACCCTTATGTTTGGCCCATCTTGTGACATTTCGTACACTATTTGTTCTGTGCACCTGTCTGCCTTCTACACTACAATGTGAGCTCCTGAAAGACAGGGACCATGTCTGACTCACCTTGGAGTCCTCACTAGGGCTTCATGGGGATTGTGTTCAAATGAAGGTCAGAATGGCACCCGATCTCTATCTCCAGTCCAGAGCTCCCTCCTCACCTCCAGGCCTGTATATCCCACTGCCTCCTAGATACCTCCGTGCAGATGTCCTACTGGCATCTCAACTCATCTTGTCCCAATGCCCTAAACTCCTTACTTGCTCCCCTGAGTGTGCTCTTGCTCCTTCATTCTCCATCCCAGTGAATGGCTCCAGCCTGCTCTGACTTCTGTCTCTCTCCCTTCACCATCATCCAGTCAACCAGCTGGTGCAACAATTCTACCTCTTAAAAAAATTGTTTTCTAATTTTCTTAATGTTTATTTATTTTTGAGAGACAGAGAGAGACAGAGCATGAGTGGGGGAGGGACAGAGCAGGGTGGGTAGACCCAGAATCTGAAGCAGGCTCCAGGCTCCGAGCTGTCAGCACAGAGCCCGATGCAGGGCTCGAACTCACAAGCCGTGAGATCATGACCTGAGTGGAAGTTGGACACCCAACCGACTGAGCCACCCAGGTGCTCCCCCCAAAAAAAATCTTTAATGTTTATTTTTGAGAGAGAGA